AGGAAAGTATAACCAAAGATTAAAGGGGCCAATATAATTTCTTAAGAGTCTATATGCATAGCTAAATGCTACATAACAAGCAACAATGCTTTGAGTTGTTGGCCAGCATGGCCAAAGTTACTCCCAGATAGTAACCCAGCATACAACTGGGAAAATGAACAGTAGACCCCATTCTTATCTAAAGGAATATTGACAACTGATTGGTGCTAGATGAGGAACAGCTGACCTTCCTAAAACAAAGACCTCTAGATAGGCTGACTAGATTCACCAGATGGACAAATACTGGAGAATGGCTGGGGGTGCCAACAACACAGCAGACAGTAGTAGGGATGACAGAGTATAAGGGATCTAATGGGGGGGGGGAGGCTATGGGAGGATGCCATCTGGGAAGTGGGCGTATAGATGAGTAAGATGGTTTGGAATGTTCTGTGTGATATACACACAAAAAAACCAACAAAAAAAAAGTTATATTTGAGGAGGAAGCATAAAAATTTACATCATGTTAATTAGTAGAGGTGATAAACATTACCATTGAAATCTACCTGATGACTTTATATCCACACACAGGTGCCAAGTATCCAAGTGCAACCAACTACGACTAGTAACAATCAGATACATACAGATTAGAGATGCATGCGCCAACATCTCAGTGTTATAAGCAAAAACAATTAAGTCTTTCTGTAAGAAACAGTATATTTTTAAATGAAATGGAGATCTTTTTTAAGGGTTAAAAACTCATTCAATTTTATGTCTTACAGGGTTTATACTGAGTTCAATATTGTATAACTGTATTAATTCAACTGTGAACCTAAAAATTTTATAGCCACTTTTGAAAGAGATGTATCCATGCTCTGGAAATTGTTATTAAGTATATTAAAGCTGTAATTAAATGCTTCTTCTAAAAAATAAAAAATAAATAAATAAAATGATCAGAAAAAGAAAAAAGAAACTTTGCCTCTTTTCAGCTGATTTTCTTGTGTATTTTGTCTGTGAGAGAAAAAGCTGATTCAGACGGTTGACACTGTGGATCAGTCAGTGAATGAAACTGGACTGTTACCTAGAAAGACCCAAGCATGGCTGACAGTGGCATTTACTTTAAAATCTTGGAAAAAAATTCTACTAAGATTATCCACTGTAGCTTATCTAAGCCATAAAAAAAATTGGACTTGGGTACTCTAAGAAGCCACTACAAAAAACTTTCCATAAATAAAGGTTAAATTATTGACATTTTTTATATCCCATATGGAGTAGAGATGACAAATAAATAGAAGAATAAATAGAAAATACAATCCTGAACCAAATAATAATATAATGATGAAGAGGATGATGATATAATCAGAACCAAACTCCCCCTCATGAGTATTTCATATACAACTAGAATCTGTCAGGTTACCTGAGCTATGGAAGCTTGAGGATTCCTCAGCAAGTTTTTGAATGAACGCTTAGCAATCCATCTGAGCTGATGGCAAAAAGAGGTAACATATGTAGTTTCCTTAAAGACCACTGTGATTCTCTTCTTTTTCTGACCTCCTGGGAGTCGATCTAATTCAGCTTTTGTTTCTCTATAGAAGGAGGAGTTGACATAAAACTCAGCTAAATTTTCTATTATTGGCTTTCCTTTCTTGGAAGACTGTTCAGTGTTGTTTGCTTTGGAATAAAAGTAGATAAAATAGTGACATATTATTAACATAAAACAACTGATTTAAACCATTTTTCTATAGCCCGATACCTGTATAACCCCTTAATTCTATAGTTTGAGTATAAAGAAAAAATTACTGTCTGGGCATAGTGGTGTACGCTTTTAATCCTAGTACTTGGGAGGCAGAGGCAGGTGGATCTCTGTGAGTCAAGGCTAGCCTGGTATAGATAGTTCCAGGCCAGCTAGGGCTGAGGTAAAACAAAACACTAACTTTGTCATTGCTTTATACATCAGAAAATCAGCTAATTGACCTGTCTACTGCTACATCTAATGGATATAGCAAACTTATTGACCTTTTCCTATCTATTTAAACCCTAATTTCTCAAATAAACATTGTATTGTACAATCATAACATGAGTTCAAAATGCATGCTTTTTTTTTTTTTTTTTTTTTTAAAGAAACGGTCCCATTATGCAGCCCTGGCTGGCCTGAAAAAGCGTGTTTTAATAAGCCACATTGCAGTGCTTTAATCAAATTAATTAGGCATAAATCTATAACGCTATAAGATTCATATACCTTCTTGTTCTTCTCCTTCTCTAGTTGATGCCACAGCAGAAGAGTCTCCGTTAATGACATCCAGGAAGAAATCTGCAGGATTATTGTAGGGCTCACAGTGGTAACCTACAAAAAAGAAAAGGCAACCCAAAGACACAGTCTGATGGTCTTGGAAATGATGAAGACTTATTTTCAGAGGCTGAGGGAGGGGAAGCTCAGGAAGACAGACAAATTCTCCTTCTTCTCCCCTCACTAACGCATCCTCTTTTGTTATACAGTCAATCAATACTCCAAAAATTCAAAAGGAATCTCAGATGCTTGAAAATATCTTACACTACTGTTCATTTACCAAAAATTATGACATACAGAGGGGGATCAATATGCTCTGGAGCTTACTAGTACTCCTTTATAGATCTACATCTAGGTCCACAAAAGAAAACATTAAATGTCTTTGTGCTCTCTGACCTCACCTGGCAAGTTCAAGATCAGCAGTCTGCATGTCACTTACTATCATTTCTTCAATATAAAATTGAGAGGTTGCAATTCTCACCTGCCACATGCCATAGTTCTAAACGGAGAACAAATACAAGAGCAGCAGTCTCAAAAGAACATAACCAGCACAGTACATGCGAATTCTGATCTCAACTCTACTATATCTCAACCTGGCCTAAAGTCTGTCCCATAAATTCATCTCTCCAGACTCATTTATGCTTGGTTATTTTAAATGATAGATTAAATCCAAATAAATTAAGAATGAAAGATAGTGAATATTTAAGATTACATTTAAGGTCATGAAGAATTATCTACAATCATAGCCTAAATCATTCTCTAAAATGAAGCAGACAGTATAAAGAATTGAAAAAGAAATCCCATAATCTATAATCTGAAACAGAAAAAAAGACAACCCAGAAATGTCAAAAATGTTGGCTCATCAAAGTGAGATTTGGGACTAGCCATTCTAATAATAGGCCACTCAGATCCAGGCACAGCCTAAATCACCAGCCTTATGCTACTAGAAGCTATGATACTAGAAGTATCATTTCCAAGAACCTTATTAAGGCAGAGTGAGATCACACGCCCAGTGAAAACTGAGAAACCAGGATCTGTTACATGGTCAAGGAGACAATGACCCTGGCTCTTCCCAAAACTGTTCAACTGACTAACCTGCTGACTGTGAGTCTATACCATAACTGGGAAGCAGGACAAGCAAAGGCCCAGTAGACAGAAACACTTAGACACAAATGACACATGAATATTCAAATAGGACAGGAACAGGAAAGACACCTAAACAGTAGGCAATGCTGCAAAACGGGGAAAAATCCTAACACAAAATGGCCAAAGTACTCCAGAGGGCAGGGACGCACGGTAAGTCTGCACGAAGATCGCACAGCACTCTTGTGGACTCTCTGTTCTACTCTACAGTTCTGTGAACGAAGGAACTATCATGTGGGAGAAAAAAAATCAACCATAATCAACCATACCTGTTGATGCAAAGTACTCCAAAGCCTTCTGTGCAGGCCCATGGAACATGAGTCTTCCTGAGGCCAATAGGGTAAGGCTGTCAAACAACTTAAAGATAGAATACCGAGGCTGATGAATGGAGAAGATGATTGTGCGACCCTGTTTAGACATCCTAAGTTACAAGAAGAAATATAATGAGTCATTAAGATTCTGGTCCTTGCATTTATTATTAAAAAATACTTTATTCCTGCTGATAGACCATTTGTTCACAGTTCAACTTGATTTTCTCTTACGCACATGTTGTAGCAGCTTACCTCATATTACCTGCTTGATACCTAGAAAAACTAAATTTGGTGCTTTTATTTAAAAGTCTAGGGCAGCTGGGGGTAAGCTCAGCAGTATAGTGGCGTTCACTTGTAAAGCAAGCACTTAGCAAATGAGAGACCTTGGGCTTAATCCCCAGAAGCAAAAAACAGAACAAACAAATTCTTAAAGGAGAGGACATGGACTGAACAGAATCCACTAGGAAGTTTATTGACAAGCGCAGATTCAAAGACAGTTCTCATAAACACTGAATTAGATTCTCTGGGGAAATGTGTGGACAGTCCATATTTTTAACAAGCAGTCTAAGTAGTCTGCTAATACATTCAAGTTTGAGATAATTACAGACAAAATATTAAAGCAAAGGCAATATGTCCTATTTTCACTAATCACTCAAGTTTTCTGCCTTGCTATGAACTGGTTTCCATTCTTTTTCTATGGTACTAAACATCTGTGAACAGTTATTGTGGTTTTGTTAATATTTTAGGAACAACCACATTTTCAATCTTCAAAAGACTGTTCCAATGTTATTTCCTTCGTTTTACTGATAAGGCTTATAGGTCAAGCAACTGGCTGAATTGTCACAGTTACTAAGAGGCTAGGGTGGGATTGATCTCAGCCATAATTCCATAGCAGAAATAGTGCTAAATTACATATTCAGAGAAGTTATCATTTATGGGAGGAGAACCAAAGGAAAAAGGCATTGTTCAAAACTATTCTTTAAAAAACATGAGGGGCTGGAAGATGGCTCAGCAGTTAAGAGCACTGGCTGTTCTTGCAGAGGACCTGGGTCCGGTTCCCAGCACCCACACGGTGGCTAGCAACCCCCCTTAATTCCAGTTCTAGGGGATCCAATGCCCTCCTCTGACCTCCACAGGCATTGCATAACATGGGTGCACTCACATACATGCAGGCAATACACTCATACACATAACATAAAAATAATAAAACATTTAATATAAGTAGCATTTCAAATCACTAAGCATTTTATGTATATTTTTATTGAATTTTTGTGCATTTCATACAGAACATTTTAATCATTTCTATAGCCACTCCCCCATCTGCACCCCCTATAGTCCCCTCCTCCCCCACTGAATTTCATGCATTCTGTCATACATGTTAGGGCCTATCAAGTGAAGTTAGTGTATCCAGACATCCCTCAGTGAAAGTTCCTCCACTGGGATCTAGTCAGCCTATCTAGAGTCTCTCCCTTAAAGAAGATCGACTCCCTCACCCAGCAGTAATCAGCTGCTAAAAGTTCTTTGGCTAAGGTTAGGGTCACCTGTTCATTTCACCAGTTCTATGCTAGGTTTTTGTCTGATTGAGTTTGCATGGGTCTTGTGCATGCTGACACCACTGCTGTAAGTTCATATGTTCAGGGTCCCAGGAGCCTTAAGAGTCTCTGTTTCCTTATGGTCATGCTGGCTCTTACCATCTTTCTGCCTCCTCTTCTGCAATGGTCCCTGAGCCCTAGGTGGATGAAGTTTAATACAGGAGTCCTGTCCAGGAACCCACACTCGCAGACTCTTATTCTCTACACTTTGGCCAGCTAAGGGCTTTTGTGTTCATCGCCCTCTGTTTATAAGGAAGCTTCTCTTCCACTACATTCTGTGAGCCTTATGGATCAATTTAAGCAATTTAAAGTACCAATTATATGCTAGCAATGTGCCCAAAGGTAGGTGGTATCAAAAAAAAAAGTCAAGGCAAACTATTAAGAACTTGAATACAATATGGAGTAAAAGTAGCTAGGGGTTTCCTGTAAGCAAAGTGGGAGACATAAAACTCAATCTGAAGTTGATGGAAGTAGAATGCCAAAGGCCCAGCAAGAGTGAGCTAAGAGAGAAAAGACACTAAGGACAGAGGAACACACTGAACAAAGTATGAAATAAGATCGACTCTGGGGTAACTCTCAGTTACCCCTCTCACCAAATCAGGCAACCTTAGCTGCATGTGGAGAAGGCTAAAGATATGTAAGCCGAAAACGCCATGAGGCACCTCTCTCGCCATTTTGTGTGGCTGTCGGGAAGTCACAGGATCTATATTTGAGTGTGGACTTTACAGTGCAGCCATAAATGGGGGGGCACTCTTCTATAAATAAACCTCCACTCTATGCTCTGTTAGCAAGCCCAATAAACTCATTGGGATTTTCAAAAAAAAAAAAAAATACAGAACTAATAGAAACATTATTCCACTAAAGTTGACCCCATGTTGGCAAATCCTTTGGTCTTTGATTTCTTATTCCTATTTTCCACCCCTTAAACGTCATTGTATATATATATATTTTCATGTAACCTGCTTCAAGTTATTTCTGGAAAAAAATGTGTTAAAAATTGCCTCTCTTTGGAGTCATAATAATAAAAAAAAAAGTTAACTGGTTAAGAAAAAAAAAAGAAATAAGATCAACTCAGGAAACTATAGGTCAGTGTTACAGAGCAAGCACTGCTCGTGTGTGTGTGTGTGTGTGTGTGTGTGTGTGTGTGTGTGTGTGTAGTGGTAGTGTTGGGTGAAGAAACTAAAGAGAATGCAGCAAAAGTTATAGCACCAATTTAGAACTAAATAAATAAAAGGTGAAAACACATACACAATGGAATTTTTCAGCGATAAAAAACAAATTTATAGCATTTGTAGATGTAACTGGAGATAACCATATTGAGTGAATTAAACTAGTCTCAGAAAAACAAACACCCTGCCTTCTCTCATCCGTGGTCCCTAAATTTTATGTCGATACATAAAATCATGTTTGTATATATGATGTAAACACAGAAGTAAAACTGCCCAGGGGACAAAAAGGGATGAACAAGATGAAAATGGGAAGGGGCAGGAGAGCATGAGCTCAACGTACTCGTGTGAAAGTCCTTATGAAGCATAGTGCCATGTTCAATGAACATACACAATGAAGACATTAAAAATGAAAGAGGGGAGGGAGACTGTCGCAAAGCAGCCTCGTGCTGAACCTCTCATTCAGGAATTGGGACAACTGGTAAGGAACAGGAGCTAGAAGTTTGTGAGGCCTGCTACTCCTCAAAGTTGGTTCTAAGGGACCAGTGGCATCAGAATCAGTCCTCCTCCTCCTTTTTTTTTTTTTTTTTTTTTTTTTTGAGACAGGGTCTCACTGTGTAGCCCTGGCTGGCCTGGCCTCAAACTCAGAGAACCACTTGCCTCTGGCTCCCAAGTGCTGGAATTAAAGACCTGTACCATCACCTCTGGTTCAGAATCAGCACATCTTTTAAGAATCTCTGAGAAAGACTCCTGGACTCCATCTCAGACCTACAGAAACAGGACATGCATTTTTACCAGACTACAGTGGTAAGTATGCACAGTAATGCTGCAGAAAGACAGATTAGAGTGCTCTGCGTAAGGAAGCATGCATGGAATGTAAAACATAAGGGAAAGACAACATCCCATATCAATGCATCATTCTCTAGTGAACAGCATTAATAGTTACAGACCATAAAAATATCACATTACCACTCTATAATGGAACCTGAAGTTTAGACCCACAACTCTAGGCATCTTCACTGTAACTGACATGACAAACAAGATATCCAGACTCTTAGCTATCTTTCTATTACTAGCACAGAGACTGTTCATGGTGGGGGGGGGTAGGCAAAGTGAGCAAGACAGTATAGAGTGGGGGAACCATGAAGGAATGTTTGGCAAAGGAATTTCCATAGGTGGCAGACAAGGAAGTGACCAGAGCAATTGGTGACTGATTGCATGCAACAATTAAATTACTTGTCTGAGAAGGTGAGTGAATATACTGAGATTATGGGAGCCACATTTCTCACTATCTGCCTTCAGTTACAAACACAGAAAAGGCAAAAATGATTACGTCCTTAACAGAAACAGCAACAGATGTATGTTTACATGTGTCTTTCTACTCAAAACTACAAAAAAAGTCTTCCTACATTAAAAATTGCATTCAGCACATTTCCAATTAAAATATACTAGTATGTTTTACACCTCTTCCATGTATATTTCCTAGCTTTGTCTACCAAAAATCTAAAAGCAATTATACTCCAGTAGCAGTGATTATGCTGAACAACTAGTCTTTGGTTTCTAAATATTTATTACACTAGAAGGAAGCAGGGCTCCTTGCAGAAACAGCTGATGCAGGAAATTACAAGGCAAGCCTTGAATGTCATCATGACCATAAAGTAAATAAGTGCTAGGAGAGTAATGAAGTGAAATGTCAAGAGAGCACAGGGGCCACTGGTCAAATCAAGGTTAAGCCCATCACTAAAACAATGAAGAATAATGTTACATATATTAGATGGGAAATGAGCAAGGAAGGGGAAAAACCTCTTCTTGTATATGTCAATTATCACATGTCAGGTAACTACTGCAGAACAAGTCATCAGCTTATGCTAAAACCAGTGGGGAAAATATGATGAGGAATGAAAACTGGGATTAAAGACACATATCCCCACCCACAAAATACTAATCAAGCCCAAAGGTAAAAAATAGTAACTTTACAGAACAGAAGCCGAGTAGATGCCAACATGATCAGATCAAAGGTCACACGATCTGTGGTGGGTACAGCCCAGGTGTGCTACACTGAGACCCCAATAGAGTTTCATGGAACCCTGGAATAAACCCAGGCTGCAAGCTGACTCATGAAATACACTGAGACTTGCAAGGACATGGCACACAAGGAAAACTGTAGGGCTCATTCAGATTAGGGAAAAAAGTGACAGAAAAGTCAGAAACTACATGTGATTGGAGGGGACCCTGAGGGAGAAAGGAAACAGGCACTGCCAGGAGGATGTTGGAATCTCAAAGGGGTCTACAGACTGGAAGGTGGACAGGCTATGATTGTTGGTCTCGGTGTGGAGTGGTGGAGTACCCTTGCTTCTTGGAGTTGCATTCAGGAGAATTTAGGATGATGGGCCACGCATGGCAGAAAAAGTGGGGAGTAGAGATGGGGGAGGAGAGCAGCAAATGCAGCAAAACTTAACAGTTGGGAACTTGGGTTAGGGGAGTGCTATTTTATATGCATCCTTCTTGGACCTTTTCTGTTAGTTTGAAATTATCCTTTTATTAAAAAAATTATTTTTAATTTTTAATTTTATGTGTATGCATGTATTGTCTGCATGTAAGTGCACCGGTATCATGCAATGCCCACAGAGGACAGAAGAGGGCATCAGATCTCCTGGAACTGGAGTTATGGACAGTTGTTAGCTGCCATGTGGGTGCTAGAATTTGACCTGGTCTTCTTCTCTAAGAAAAGCCAGTGCTCTTAACCACTGAATCATCTCTCCAGCCCCTGAAATGATCTTCACTATCTTTTTTTTTTTTTTTTTTTTTTTTTGAGAAAGGGTTTCCTTTTTTTGCCCGGGC